GGCCGCCTTCTGGCCAGGAGGGCCCATGAGAAAATCCAAGCCCCCTCGGCAGCCTCTAGGAAAGCATGCCCGCCCGGGGCTGAACTGGAGGAGAGGCCGGGGAGGGGGTTTCTCACACTGACATCTCTCCTGCCGCTGCCCTCTGCCCCCCAGAGCCCGATCGTGACCCAGTTCTTCCCCTCCCTGATGCTCTGGGCTTTTACAGTGATCCTGCCTCTGATTGTCTACCTCTCCGCCTTCCTCGAGGCCCACTGGACCAGGTGACCAGGCCCTCTCCCTGCCCCGCTGTGTCCCCAGCCTCTGCCCCTGCCCTATCCCCCACCCCCATCAGCCTGGCACTTGGCACCTCCCTCCCCCCTTGGCCTAAGGAGGAGAATTCATACAGGATGGTGATAGCCTAAACTGGCCCAAAGACCAACAGGTGTTTTATCTCTGGAAGGAAGAGCAGGTTATCTCTGGACCTCTGGCCTCAGGGAAGCAGAGATAGGGTCATCATCTGAGGGTGTGGGGCCCAAGCCAAGCCTGGGCTGCTCCCAGAGCCCCCAGTCATATACTGAGGGGATGGAGCTATGGGCACGAGCCAGGCAGTGCCAGGAATTCCCAGCAGAAAGCACAGGAGAAGATATGTTTGGGAACGCCAGCAGGCTTCAGCCACACAGAGGGGCCATGAGCTCATTCGACGGTTGACACACATGGCACACGCAGTGCCAGTGTTTTAAGCAATCAGGAGTGGCCCCATCTGTGAGCCCTGAAGTTTCCATGGTGTGAGTAGATAATATTTGCCCTATCTCTGGCATGTTTTGGCCTGCAGGGTGCACGTGTCTCAAAAGTTATTTCCTGCACTAGAAGTTCCTACCACCCCACCAGGCAGCAAGCCAAAAAGTTTTCTGTAACAGAAATCCTTACTGACCTTTCCTCTGGCCAAGCACAAGGCTTATGTCGGGCATTGAAACTGTCTCTTTAACACAGAGATGTCAAATGAATAGCACGTTCCCTTCCCTGCCTGTGTCCAGGGCAGACATCGCTAGCTGATCATACTCTTCTTTCCTGCCGCTCCCAGATGCAACACAGTGCACAGTGCTGAGTGGAGATGGCATTGGTATACACGATTAGATCAGTGTCCCAGAGTCACCACACGAACTCTCCCCTGCGACCCCCTGTTATGTAGTTAGCCTTTGGTTCTTGTCAGGACACACACACTGATGACTATCCCTCTGTTTCCTTCTAGGTCCAGTCAGAATCTGATCATAGTGCACAAGTGCTACGTCTTTCTGGTGTTCATGGTGGTCATTTTGCCCTCGATGGGACTGACCAGGTACCGCCCCTTCCAAATGTCCCCCACAGGTCAGGCTCGCCTTAGCGTTCACACCTCCTCTTTCAGAAACTGTAGGCCTGCCGGTGGCGGCAGCAAACCCATACCTCAGATGACAGCCGAGCGCTGTCATGGGTGTAGCGTGAGCCAGGCATCACATAAACTCTAACATGTCAGCCATGAACTTGACCCTCAAAGGGGCAAGGCGTGCCTCCTAGCCTCCGACAGTCCCGGGCGGGAAGGACCTAGCCAGCAAGCAGGAGAAACTCGGAAGTGGGAGAGAGCGCTGTGGGGAAGTGGCCGGAGGAAGTGGCCTTGAGCTGAAAGGACAGGGGTTCAGAGCAGGAATGGCCCAGCAGTAGGAAGGAAGAGGGCAGGGTGGACCTGTCAGCTATTAAGAAGCAAGAGTCTTGGAAGACCGGGCAGGGAGAATGGAGGGAGGGAAACCCGCAAGGAGGAACTGAGCCCTAGGCCTTAGCTCACAGGCTTGTCGACCGAAGGGCCGGCCTTGTCCTTGCTTCTAGTTTGGATGTCTTTTTCCGCTGGCTCTTTGACATCTACTATCTGGAGCAGGCATCCATCCGGTTCCAGTGAGTACTCCCAAGCGCATGCCGGGGCTGCTGTGTGTTCACGTGGGAAGGGTGGTGTGCCCGTCTCTGAGCATGCCTGAATGTGCTCACAGAGATGAAGACAGATGTGCGAGAGCACCCTCCTCAGGCAGCCGTGTCTCCTTTCCTGTGCCAGGATCCTTTGGGTGATCTGGAAAAGCCCAAGGACCCCTTCTCAGAACGATGCTTTCGAAACGATTGTAGACTCACAGGGAGTTGCCCCCCAAAAATATATGGGCAGGGGACTGTCCCAGACACCCTTTATCCAGCTTCCTCCAGTAGTAACATTTTGCATAACTGTAGTTCAATATCGGAATCAGGAAACTGACATTGGTACAACCCACAGAACTTCCTCAGACGCTGCCAGTTTTACGTGTGCTCTGAATGATGCCTTTAAGTGTGCAAAATACGTGGACTGCAAAGAAAACCAGTTACACCGAAATATAATTGTCAAAAACTTTTACAAATCCAATTTGTGACACAGTCTTTATTCACACATCATAATAAGCTATTGCGCCTTAAATGTAGGTAGGCTAATGTTACGATCTATCATTTTAAAAACATCAGTGTGAAAGCTGATATTACTTAGCTGAATAAGTGCATAAATTAAATTAGGGGAGCTTTTTGGCAAGACAACATGCAGTTCATGTTGGACATGCAGCCAACTGAGATTTTTTGTTGTGGTGGTTACAAGTGTCAAAAATCTCAGTTTTCAAAAGATATGTTACAGCTTGCCATATCTCAAGCAGGTGGCATGCTTTGACCTGCAGGCTGCATGTGTCTCAAAAGTTATTTCCTGCACTAAAAGTTCCTACCACCCCACTAGGCAGCAAGCCAAAAGGTTTTTTGTAACAGAAATCCTTACCGGCTTTTCCTCTGGCCAAGCACAAGGCTTATGTCAGGCACTGAAACTGCAAGGATCCCGAGTATCCTTGGTATTGTCTCTTTAACACAGAGATGCCAAATGAATAGCACGTTCCCTTCTCTTCCTGTGTCCAGGGCAGACAAGGGCCAACATTCTCCAAGGTTTCTTTATATATATATTATTCTAAAGATGTGAGGTACAATTCAGGATTAGGTACACAAGTGGACATCGTACAGGTAAAGTTTGAGTCTCCCTTTGGTCCCCATTTTGCCTGGTTTGAGATCAGGTACCCTGATTGATGTTATGTGCCCCCTCCCCAAGGTTTCTGCAATTGAATTATCATTGTCACAAGTTGTTTTTTTCCTCAGATAAATAAGTTCATCTTTGACTAGGCCACTATCTTCAGTATAGCTTATATATGAGAAAGAAAAGGGACCAGGCACAGTGGCTCACACCTGTAATCCCAGTACGATGGGAGGCCGAGGTTGGAAGATTACATGAGCCCAGGAGTTTGAGACTAGCCTGGGCAATATTGCAAGACCTCATCTATACAAAAAATCAAAGAAGCAGCCAGGCATGGTGGTACAAACCTGTAGTCCTAGCTGCTTGGAAGGCTGAGTTGGGAGGGTTGACTGAACCCAGGAGTGTGAGCCTGCAGTGAGCTGTGATCGTGCCACTGCACTTTGGACTGGGTGACAGAGTAAGACTCTATCTCAAAAAGAAGGAAGGGAGGGAAGAAGGGAGGGGGAGAAAGGGGGAAAGAAAAGAAAGAAAGAAAGAAAGGGGTTGTAAGCTCATAACTCAGCTTTGATGCCACCAAGCAAGAAGAGCTTTTGAAGGAGTTCTGAAATATGTCCATAGACTCAGAGCTATCTCCTTTCAAGGAAGTTGACAGGATTGCATAGATAAGGACTCTGGAAAGCAGCAGAGATTTCAGGCCAGATGACCTAGCCTGAGTGGACCAGCTACACCCAATACTCATCTGTAGACAGGGGCCTCTTGGCCACATGTCATGTGGGCCCGGCCAGCTCCTGCTGTCCTCTTGAACTGGTGGTGAGCACGCAGGACATTGAAGGGTGTCAGCAGTGACGCAGTGTGATGTGAAACACCTGCTTTCAATGGGGGACAAAGTCACATCAACAGACAGCTAATGTGCCTGGGATGTGTTGCCCACATTCTTTTCTTTCTTTTTAATCAATACTTTTTATGATGATATGGGGGGGTACAGTTAAGGGTTAGGTATACAAATATGCTTCGTTCAGGCACCCTTGTTGATAAGGGGTGTCTCCCCAGCCCACATTCTCAATGGAAGGAAAAGTTACATTAACGTTAGAGATTCATGAAAATAACGATATCGTTTTTTTTCCCATCCAAGGTCACAGACCCTCAGTATCCCACTCACGGACTCTCCAGAGTCTCTGAACCTGGGTCAGAAACCCCTGCTTTGGATCAAGCCAGTGCAGGCATCCCCTGACACACCCACATGTCAGGGGGTCCACCCACCCTGGCTCACAGGCCTGCTGTTACCTGACCCCGGGCTGGGGAGAGGCCTGGAGCTTCTCCCTGTGTCTCCACCCTGTCCCCACTTCCTCTGCTGTTTTCCTCGTCCTCTCTGCCTCCCTTTCCACGCCTCTCTCCTGTCCCTGTCCCCGGCTTCCGTGGTGCCATCCTCTCTCCCCCACCACCAGGTGTGTGTTCCTGCCGGACAATGGTGCCTTCTTCGTCAGCTACGTGATCACGGCGTCCCTGCTCGGCACCGGCATGGAGCTGCTGCGCCTGGGGTCCCTCTTCTGTTACAGCATCCGCCTCTTCTTCTCCCGCTCGGAGCCCGAGCGAGCCCACATCAGAAAGGTAAGGCCGGACCCTTCCCTGGGCGCGGCCTTCGGCTTCTCCTGGGAGGGGGCCTGCGGGGAGCGCCACGGGGCCGAGGGTTGGAGGGAGGCTGTGGACAGATGCTGCATTCACGGACCCCAGGAAGCCCACGTGCAGCCAAGGTCAGGGGCCCGGGTGGCCTCAGGGTGACTCCTGCCTCCTGCCCCAGAACCAGGCCACGGACTTCCAGTATGGGCGAGAGTATGCCTGGATGATGAACGTGTTCAGTGTGGTGATGGCCTACAGCATCACCTGTCCCATTATCGTCCCCTTTGGTGAGTCATCCCTGAGGCACGCCCGGGACCGCACACCTCAGACGGAGGGGAGGACGGAGCCCCCAACACCAGGCCACCTCCAGGAGCATGGGGAGCCCCGGGACAACCTGCAGCGGGAGCTGTCGGGGCCGGGACGGTGGTGGGGGAACTGAGGGCGATGACTGCTGACATGCAATGTTTGTTGAATGAACGCATGAGTGAATGGCACTCCACCGAGCCAGGGTTCAAGGGCAGCTGCTGGTCCCAGAGTCAGCATCGCAGAGCTCCCGCAGCCTGGCTGGGGCTCTTGTTGCCCTGACAGCCCTAGGCCTGGCTTCTCAGGCTGTGGGGACGCCGTAGAAGCAGCCACTGAATGTGTCCCCGTCTCCCGGCGCAGGGCTGCTGTACCTATGCATGAAACACCTGACAGATCGCTACAATATGTACTATTCCTACGCCCCCACCAAGCTGAACGAGCAGATCCACATGGCGGCTGTCTTCCAGGCCACCTTCGCCCCGCTGCTGGGTCTCTTCTGGATGCTCTTCTTTTCCATCCTGCGCTTAGGTGGGTGCCACGCCAGCCTTGTGGTGCTATGCGTCCCTGACGCCGGCTCTGTTAGAGGAGCCCAGGGAAGCGAGAGGCCACTCATGAGCTTGGCCACATCCAGGGACTTCTGTGGGTCTCAAGGGCCTGCCTTAGAGTCCGGGAAGAGCTCTGAGGCTAACAGGAGGGCCTGGACCAGCGTGGTCAAGTTGTATGGCTTTGGTTTACAACCCTTCGTTCCAACTCCGGGCCGGCAGGAAGTAGGATATTAGCTGTTGGGTGTCTGTTCCCATGAGTTTACCTTGGGAATCCTAAAGATGCCTGTTTCTTTTCTTTTCTTTTGAGTCGGGGTCTCCCTCTGTCAAGTTGCAGTGCAAAGTCACGATTCACCACAGCCTCGACCTCCTGGGCTCAAGTGATCCTTCCACCTCTGCCTCCCAAGTAGCTGGGCCTACAGGCACATGTCACCACACCTGGCTAGTTTTTACATTTTTTTTTTTGTAGAGAATGAGGTCTTGCTATGTTGCCCAGACTGGTCTCAAACTTCTGGGATCAAGCAACCCTCCCGCCTCAGCCTCCCAAAGCGCTGGGATGACAGGCGTGAGGCTCTGCACCCGGCCAAGGTATCTGGTTTTATAGACTGCCAAAATCCTGGGGGAGGAATCAGGGTCTGCAGGAGTGGCCTACTTTCCCCCCACTCTCTGACTACACAGAGCAACTGTCCCTGCCCTGGAGGAACTCAGAGACACTCTCCCAGGAGCCATCCCCACAGGCCACAGGCTGGAAGTGCCTCAGCTTTTTCTTCTCGGAGGCACCCACTGCCCTTCCTGGGAGACCGCCACCTCCCCAGTGGCGGCGAGGAGGGAGAGGCAGTGTCTCCTTTCTCTCCCTGTCACAGCGGCGTCTGTTAAGGTCCACTTGCAGTCTCTTGGGTGGCTGCTCATTTCCCCAAAACGTCCTAGCCCACCGGCCCTTCCCTGCCAGCCAGCAGACTTCATTTTTCCATAATGCGTTTTCCTAGGGATGAAGGACTACATGCTTATTATCGAAAATAAAAAAGGGTTCGAGACCAGCCTGAGCAACATGGCGAGAGCTCGTCTCTACAATAAATAAAAAGAATTAGCCGGGCATGGTGGTGCATGCCTGTGGTTCCAGCTACTTGAAAGGCTGAGGCGGAAGGATCCCCTGAGCCCCGCAGGTCGAGGTTGCAGTGGCCGTGAGCGTGCCACTGCACTCCAGCCTGGGCGACGGGGTGAGACTCTGACTCAAAAAAATAAAAATAAGGACCCCAATTTAAATCATCCACAATCTCTCCCTGAGCCTGATGCTCATTGCTCTCAGGCCTCCTTCCCAGGCATCCTGGCATGCGCTTCGGGGAAGGGAGCAAAGAGAGGGAGTTTGCTGGCCTGTTGTCACTTTACAAAACTGTCATCCTCTGTGTTATAACATTCAGCCCATGCCCTGCGGTTTGTACTGAACATGATGTTCTGTGCAACTTCCTATGCTGTTAAAAGACTAAGCCCGTGCCCTTCAGAGGCTGCATTAAGGCCAACCAGTTTTAGTCAGTTCACCATTGATGGGTACTGAGGTTGGCTGTTTTTTGCTACTATAAAAACACTACAATAAGTATCATTAAGCCATGACCTTTGACGGGAAAGAGTGATTTTTAGTATTTGCCTAGTTAGAAAACAGTGGCCATAAAAAAGGAACCAAAGACCCCTAAGTGGATTTCTGACCGGGACTGACCGCACAGATAACAGAACATGCACACTTCCAAGGTGAGCCCAAGAGTGTGGGTCCAAGAGTGTGTTGGGGGCTGTGACAGAGATAGAGACTCAGAGATACTTCCTGGTGACTGTGGTATCGGAGGTAACTGACAGGTTAGGAAGGACATGTTTTCTGGGCACTTCAGTTGGGTACAAAGTCAATTAAAACATTTTTTTTTTGAGTTGGGGTCTCCTGTTGCCCAAGGCTGGAGTACAGTGGCAAGATTACAACTCACCGCAGCCTTGACCTCCTGGGTTCAGGTGATCCTTCCTAGTTGGGACTATAGGTGAGCGCCACTGCACCTGGCTGTTTGTTCTTTTACATTTTTTTGTAGAGATAAGGTCTCATTATATTGCCCAGGCTGGTCTCAAACTCCTAGGCTCAAGCCACCCTCCCCCCCTCGGCCTCCCAAAGTGTTAGGATGGCAGGCGTGAGCCACCGCGCCCAGCCCAAAGTATTTTTCCCATGGACCCCACAAGATGCCAAATTCTAAACTGGCCGAATAGAACAAAGGATGATGTGCCTGTGTCAGGCTGCTCGATGCCAGTTCCCAGAGGAGAATGGGGCCAGGTCGAAGCCCTCGTGGTAGTGCTGAGACGGCCCCCGGGCGTGGCATCTACGCGTCTGGTGGCATCTCGCAGCCTTTTCTTCTCTCCGCAGGTCCCTTCCACAACATCACCATCTTCTCCCTGTCCACCCTCCTCATTTCCATCATAATTGCCATCTTTGGCATTTTTCTGAGGAAGCTTTGGATGGTCTCCGACTACAAGGTGAGCTGCCAGCCTGCCCTTTCTCTCCTGGTTGCCCCGGCCCCGGGGACACAGCTCTAGGTCCCCTCCTGGCCTGGTTGCCCACGGCCCCCACGGGTGAAAGGGTCTCACCTTCCTGCCTGCAGTGGGGATTGTGCACGCCTGGTGGCTGGCTCAGGCACCAGCCCCGTTCAGGAGACAGCTGTCCTCTCCTCTTCTGCCCTCTGACACCTCCTGCAAGCAGCCTGCTGCTGGCCCAGCCCTCCTCCGGTGTGAGTCTGGTGTAGCCCCTGAACTGTGAGCCCCAGTCCAGGGCTGGAGGCTACGGGAGGGGATGGAGCAGAGGCTTTGGGGAGGGGTGCTAGTGATGCCCCAGGGAAGGGGGAGAGTCCTTTGCTCACCTTTAAGAACCCCAGGCGAGGGCCGGGCTCGGTGGCTCAGCCTGTAATCCCAGCACTCTGGGAGGCCGAGGTGAGTGGATTGCCTGAGCCCGCCGGTTCGAGACCTGCCTGGGCAACT